CTGAGAAAGTAGGGTTCTAAAATGCCCAGGCCTTAATTCTCCATAAATAGAACACCCCCCAAAATCGTTCATAGGCATGACTGCTGCCATCTTCTGTGGAATACAGGTGAACTTTTGTGATACAGTGAAGGACAAGTTAGGTCTACTGAGGTGCTCCCTATTTTAGTGCTAAAGAATGTAAAGAGAGCCTCCCAAGATCACATAGGAAGGTTCTTCATGATCAACATTCTGTTCTCATGGAGAGCACATCAACATCAAAGGAATAGCTTGCTCATGTTTTCCAGTCTGATTCTGCCTTTGGTGCTGAAGGTAATATATAGCTCTCTTGATCAGGAGCTATTGATAGATTTATCCTGCGTGAATTTTGCAATCTTCTTCTGAAAACTTTAGAAGAGCGATTAATAGAATAGAATACAGAATAGAATTCTTTATTGGCCAAGTATGATTGGACACAAAAGGAATTTGTCTTGGTGCAAATGCTCTCAGTGTACATAAAAGAAAAGTTACATTCGTCGAGAGTCGAAAATCATAAGGTGCAACACTTAATGGTAGTCATAGGGTACAATAAGCAATCAAATCATAAGAGGAAATCAATAAAAATTGTTAGGGTACAAACAACAAGGTTATACAGTCATATAGTCATAAAGTGGGAGGGGATGGGCAATAAGAAGTGATGAGTGGATTAACAGTAATAATTGTGCAGATTTTGTAAATAGTTGGACAGTGTTGAGGGAATTAGTTGTTTAGCAGAGTGATGGCCTTTGGGGAAAAACTGTCCTTATGTCTAGTTGTTCTGGTGTGCAATGCTCTATAGTATTGTTTTGAGGGTAGGAGTTGAAGCAGTTTATGTCCAGGATGTGAGGGGTCTGTAGATATTTTCACAGCCCTCTTTTGGACTCAGAGTGCAGTATACAGGTCCTCCATGGAAGACAAGTTGGTAGTAATTGTTTTTTTCTGCGGTCCTAATTACTCTCTGATGTCTGTGTCTGTCCTGTTCGGCTGCAGAACCAAACCAGACAGTTACAGAGGTGCAGAGGCCAATTCAGATCTTATTAGGGCTTTTTCTTGAGGAAGGAGACTTCCCCAAAGGTGTATTAATTTCCTTCTGAAATTAAACCATTTCTAATTTATTTTCCGTTCATCTCCGAGTCAGTATTTTTGGGGAATTCTCAACAGTAGAACAGTGAGTCTTGATTTCCCAATATATATATTTAATAGTGGAAGTTGAAATAACCGGCATGCGTTACTGGGAGCAAAGTATCCTGGAGCTGTCCCCTTGAACAGTGTTGATGATATAATACTTTAAAAGCTTTTGGAAACTCATTCCAGAGAAACTGCCTGGCTTGTTCAGAGTTGGGACTTGAAAAGGAGAGGTTCTACTTTAGAGGTGTGTCCTCCAAAATTTTCTGGGATCATATTTTGAAGAAGAACCATGGACCTGAAATACTCTTATTTTCAGGGGTGTTAAACTCAAGGCTGGCGGGCTGGATCCATGGGGTGTTTACATCTGGCCCATGGTTCCAGTCTGGAAATAGCAAAGGACTGGCCCCCAGTGCCTCTTCTAGCAAAAACTGGGCATGAGGGAGCCGTGGGTGGCCCTTACACACCCTGTTTTCAGCCTGGACAGCCTCCTGCAGCACTCTGCCAACAGAAACAGGGTGTGGGGGGGCGTGCGTGCCCCCTGTGCCCCATTTTGGCTGTCAGGTTGCTGCAGGAGGCCTTCCGTCCCATCTCCTCCCCCCCCCAAACCCTTGTCCGCCCCATGGAGGACAACTAAAATGCTGATATGCCCCTCCAAGAAATCCATTTTGACATTCCTGCTCTATTAGCACGTCAAAGCAAATTTTCAACCATATTTTTGGAGGGGAAAAAGGCATCCTTCAGGGAGAAGAAGAATTGCTGCTATGTTTCCCCCCAAAATAAGATCCTGTCTTATATTTTTTTGCCACCAAAAAGGGCACCAGGTCTTATTTTCAGGGGATGTCATCCACTGACTAACCTCACTTGTGCGCATTGCCCCTGGTCTCCTTTTTGTTGTCAGAAGCCTTTGGAAACTTCTTCTGCAGCCAGCAAGGCTTTCCTGAAGGCCTCTGCAGCCCATAAGGGAGCTCTGGATTGATCTGGAACTTTCTTATCAGCTACAGAGGCCTCCAGGAAAGCCTTGCCAGCCTTGCCAGCTGCAGAAGAAATGGGCTGGCCAGGCAGATGTCGGGATGTGTGAGGCCTGGCTACAACTGTCCACAGGTAAGTAGTAGGGCAGTTCCACCACCCACCCTAGCTTAACTTTTACTTGTTTACTCTGGAGTGGTGGGATCTTAATTAGGGCTTATTTTGGGTGGATGTGTAAAAATCAAGTTAGGACTTACTTTCAGGATAGGTCATAATTTCAGGGAAACGGGGTAGTCTAGAACCAGGATTATTCAAGCACCTCAAACATAAGGAGATCCACAGCCTTATGCAATTATAGACTTATTCAGACTCAGGGCGGACCTTACAAACAAACCCAGATGCTCTTGATGGAAAGATAAGAGATAGAGCAAGGATTTATTATCCCGTCAGGGGCCTTTTTCTTAAGGCTTAAATAGAACAACTGGAAATGTAGGCATCATGTGGAGCAATCAACCCATGGAATAGAAGTTGCCTTCGGAAGTTGTGGAAGCTTCATCACTGGAAGCTTTCAAGAAGAAACTGTACTTCCATCTGTCAGAAATGGTGTAGGATCTCCTGCTTGGGCAGGAGGGGGTTAAACTAGATGACCGACAAGGTCCCTTCCAAGTCTGCAAATCTGAAAGAAAAGAAAAACCCAAAGTGAGCCGGCTTAGTTGTAATATGATCATAAAATTATCGCAGGATTTTGATAAGGAGTGTGAAGTGCTTCAGTCCATAAATACATTAGTTTTTATCAGGCGCACGTTTTTGTTTAAAAAAGTAAATACATTGGAAAGCAAAGCATGCATAATAAAATTGGGATGATTGTTTTCATGTGTCCTTTTAAGTGTAAGTGCACGGAATCCATGGCAGGCCTTGGGGAGTGGCAGAAAACTATGTGAAAACCCTTCTCAAAATGTAATGGCATAGCAGGAACAGGAAGGAGAAGGGAATTCTGACTTTCCTACCTGTTTCCCTGGAGTTTTTGGAATGCAATCGGGTAACGATGCCAATTCAGCCCAGATTGCAGAATGGTTGAAGCAATAGGTGCGGCATGACACAAGGTCAGCTTTCCCGTTGCTTTGCAGAGCTGCACGGTTTGCAAATGTGGTGACTGGTTTGCAAACCTGCTTTTGCATTCCTGCTGCTGCTGCAAAGGGTTGCTAAACAAGGCAGTTGCTGGCTGGTCTACAGTGGGGAAGGGGGAAATCGAGCCTCCTAGGTGGAAATAATAATACATTTGGTAGGTGTTTGTCTGTAAGGTAAGAAGAAGAGGTTTTTCTGCTAAAAGGGACTGGAGGAGGGGTGGGATTTGAGATGAAAATTGAAGAAACCAGGGAAAAGTTAACAATGGAGCAGTTAGGGAAGGGGGAAGGGAAGGGCAAAGGGGGAAGGGGGAAGGGGGAAAGGGAAAGGGGAAGGGAAAGGAGAGGAGAGGAGAAGAGGAAGGGGAAGGAAAATAAAGGGGAAGTGAAGGAGAGGTGAAGGAGAGGAGAGAAAAGAAAGGACAGGTGAAGAGAAGGAGGGGTGAAGTGAAGAAAAGGAGAGGAGAAAAAGGAAACGGAAGAGAAGGTGAAGAGAAGGAAAGATGAAGAGAAGGAAAGGAAAGAAGGAAAGGAGAGGAAAGAAGAGAAGGAGAGGTGAAGTGGAGAGGAGAGAAAGCAAAGGAAAGGTGAAGAGAAGAAAGGAGAGAGGAAAAGTGAAGAGAAGAAAAAGAAAGGAGAGGAGGAGAGGAGAAGAAAGGAAATGGGAAAAATGAAGGGAAGGGAAAGGAAAAAGGAAAACACACAACCAAGTAATGCTGAACAGAATAACAAAGTTGGAAGGGATCTTGAAGGTCTTCTCATCCAAGCGTAACAGATAACAAATAATCAGAGTTGGAAGGGACCTTGTAGGTCATCTAGTCCACTACCCACCACCCAAGCAGGAGACTCTATATCATTTTTGACCGATGGCAGTCCAATCTCTTTTTTAAAGTCTCAAGTGATGGCGCTCCATTGTTCCATTGTTTGGTTGTTTTCACTGTCAGAAAGTTTCTCCTTATTTCCAGGTTGAATCTCTCCTTGATCAGTTTCCATCCATTGTTCCTTGTCTGGCCTACAGGCGCTTTAGAAAATAGCTTGACCTCTTCCTCCACTCTGTAGCAGCCCCTCAAATACTGGAAGACTGCCATCATGTCTCCCCTGGTCCTTCTCTTCCCTAGACTAGCCAGGCCCAGTTCCTGCAACCGTTCATTGTATGTTTTAGCCTCCAGTCCCCTAATCATCCTGGTTGCTCTTCTCTGCACTTTTTCTAGAGTCTCAGCATCTTTTTTTTATAATATTGTGACCAAAACTGGACACAGTTTGACACCTCATGAAGTTTTTGACGTTTTTCTAGGATCATTCCTCCCTCCCAACTTAAGGGCCCAAGGATTTCATAGTGTTTTCCTTGGGGGCCAACCTTGCTTAGTGTTCAAACTCCAGACAGCCAGATGAGTCACCAGCCTGCTATTGTGATAGCAGTTGATGAGAAGCTTCCACTCTTCCCAGCCAGCCAAAGTGGAAGCTGCGAACTCCCATTGTTTTAGGAAAGGAAGAGAGCCCATTTTCCTAAAACAAACAAGGATCATTCATCTGCCTTTTGGGGTGTGGAGCCAACAATAACACTGTAGCCTTGTCCCATCCCCTTCTCTCTCCAAAGCGTCCTACATGCAATATTGAAATAGTTTAGCTGCTTGGATTTTGCTGTTTTTTCTTTCTTTTTTCCCCTAAAATAATATTTCTAATTCTCCGGCAGTTATAGTGACTTCCCCAAGACTTGCCTTAAATGATGCAATGGTTTCAATTCTTTTTTTTTCTTCTCTTCTGCAGCTTAGGAAAGAGAGGTTAGCAAGACACACCTCTCAGATGTTTTTGGAGTCCTAACCCTTGACACTATTCCTACTGTTGCTGCTCTTCTAGCATGTTGCATGTAAGTATATATGTACCAGGTCTATCAAGGCTCGTTTGTCTTTGTAGGGGTCTAGGGTGTCCTACATGGAAATTTGGAAGACGGAGGAGAAACCCTAGATTTTCATCAGAGGTGGCGTTCAACAGGTTCTGACCGGTTCTACAGAACCGGTAGCGGAAATTTTGAGTAGTTTGGAAAACTGGCAAATCCCACCTCTGACTGGCCCCACCAACCCCATTTCTTCTCTGCCTCCCATCGAGTCCCAGCTGGGTCTGGTTTGGTTGCCCTGCACAGGAGAACGGAGCTGGAAAGTAGGTTGGTGGGATGGGGAGAGAATGGGGATTTTGCAGTATCCTCCCCCTGCCTTGCCCACCAAGCCACACCCACAGAACCGGGAGTAAACAATTTTGAATTCCACCACTGATTTTCGTATCCCAAAAGTACTTTTCAAAAGGCCACTGGACTTTCTTGCTATTTTTTCCCCCTTGAAAAAGTTTTGTTTCTCATCCAAGAAGCTTCTTCAGTTCTGAAGAAAACATCTGAAACATTTGGAGAAAGTGTTTGAAATGTTTCCTTGAAAATGTTTCACTGCTCTTCTAAGAAGCTTCTTAGGTTCTGTTTGTACCTTTTTTTTTTTGCCTAGACTACCTTAAAATCATAAAGCCAGTTTGGTGGGGGTGGTGAAAGCACCAAGCAAGACACCAGGAGACTGTGAGTTCTTGTCCCACCTTAAAGGTGATACCAACTGGGTGACTTTGGCCAGTATTGGCCCTAAGAAGGAGCCAAGGCCAAACCTCTACCAAACACACTCAAACACCTTGCCGCTATATGCTTCTTCTATGGAAGAATAAAGTAACAACTAAGGAAAAGCATTTGTAAACATACATTTGAAACCATGTAGCTCAGTCCTTTCTCTTTAGTGGAGTGGGAGGTTCATATGCTTGGCTGGGAACCAAGTTTAGAATCTGCCAAACAACGAATGCAATCAAGCTTTCCTAGCTAAAGGATGCAATTAATTTCCTCCCCTCTGACATGTCTTGACCAAATGTGGATTTATTTCATGAAGAAAGAAACCATTCAGCCTGAAATTACATACATACACACACATATATACAAGAATCCACTTAATGACCATAGTACTACATTCTAACCAGAGCTGTGGTGGCGCAGTGGTTAGAGTTCAGTACTACAGGCTACATCTGCTGACTGCCAGCTGACTGCAATTTGGCAGTTTGAATCTCACCAGGTTCAAGGTTGACTCAGCCTTCCGTCCTTCCAAGGTGGGTAAAATGAGGACCCAGATTGTTGGGGGCAACAGGCTGACTCTGTAAACCCTTAGAGAGGGCTGTAAAGCACTGGGAAGTAGTATATAAGTCTAAGGGCTATTGCTATTTTGCTCTGTGCTGAAAGTTCCTGTCCCAATTATGTTTGTAATTCAAGGACTATCTACAAACCATTTAGCCAGGTTTCAGTTGTGTTGACTCTGTGTGTTTGCTATTCTAAACCTCCTTGCCTTTTTTTTTTTAATTGCTTGTTTCTATTGGCACAAAATGATGTTTTTTGCAATGGAATTCTTGATGCTTTATTCGGTGCTTTGATCTCTTTTGAAAGCCTGCTTAGGTCTCCCCAATACGTATTTTGAGGGAACTTCAGAAGAAGAGAAGTGTAAGAGATCAGAGTAGCAGGAGGAATAGCTGCAAACGCCTTGCGACTGGGTGAAGAAGCATGGGGTGTAATCAACGTTGTGGCTTGCTGACTGTGGCAATCATTGGGGCAGTGCTAGCCATCCTTGGAGGAGTTTTAATCCCAGTTGGAAATCATTTTGTTCAGAAGACAATAAAAAGGGTAAGAGATATTCACCATTCCTTCTATTTCTGCATATATTCATCCCTTTCTTCTCAACACTGAATTGAATTGAACTGAATGATAAAGTATGATTAGATAGTAAAGGAATTTGTCTCTGGTGGAGAAGCTCTCATGCAAGGCAACCGAGTAATGATATCCATCGTAATAATACCAAAGTAAGAAAGATGATAAGAAGGATCAACAATAATAGCAATACTATAGCCATGCTACATGGGAAATACATATAGACAATAGACAGCACCGTGGCAATTAGTCTTTCAGCAGGGTGGTCTAAAGGGACGGGAAACGGTCCTTGGGTCTAGTTGTTTTGGCCTGCAATGCTCTGTAGTGCCATCTTGACGGGATAAGTTGAAACAATTTATGTCCGGGATAGGAGGGATCTACAGAGTCTATGGAGATTCTCAGTCATCCAGGTCATGGTTGTCCCAAAGGTGCTTTTTCAAGAGGCAACTGGTTTTTCTTTGAAGACGTTTCGCTTCTCATCCAAGAAGCTTTTTCAGCTCTGACTGGTTCTTCCCCACCATCTAGTCAATGTTGAAGAAGCTTCTTGGATGAGAAGCGAAACGTCTTCAAAGAAAAACCATAAAGTCCAGTTGCCTCTTGAAAAATCACCTTTAGGATGAGGGGTCTACAGTTACCTTCTTTGTCCTTTTGACCCACACAATATGCAGGTCTTCTACAGAAGTCCACCTGATTGCAATTGTTCTTTCTGCAGTCTTGACTATCCATTGGAAATTTGTACCTCTTCTGTTTGGTTGCTGTACCAAACCAAGCAGATGGTGTGATGTAAGCCAACACTATCACAACTTAAGTTGCCACAATTGCATCTAACCTGTTTGTAGAATTTCATCTCACCATTCAGATGTTCTGACAAAGAAACCTTCAACCTAGGCAGAGCCCTTTCTATAAAGAAATAGAAAGAGAAGGAAGGGAGGAAGGAAGGAAGGAAGGAAGGAAGGAAGGGAGGGAGGGAGGGAGGGAGGGAGGAAAGAAGGAAGGAGACATTCTGTATCTATTCTGTAGACATCCTTGATTTCCTCCCTTCCCACATGGTCCAAACTGGAGCATATGGAGGCAATGACCAAGAAGGTCATCTTCACCAACAGCACTTCCATCTAGTGTGGATTCAGTCTGAGTCTGTTTCATATTTTCATTCTCTCCTCCTTGTCCTCCTCCTCCTCCTTCCTCCTTCCTTCCTTCCTTCCTTCCTTCCTTCTTTTTCTTCCCCCTCCTCCTCCCTTCTCCTCCTCCTTCTCCTCCTTCTGTGGTAGATAAAATACTGATGATACCAAATCAATCAATGACCACCCATGGTGGTTGGAGCATTTGGAGGGCCCTTAAACACTCCCAATAATTTGAATGGTAACATCTGCTCAAGGAAGGAGCAGAATCCCTTTTAAGTAGATTGTTATTATTATTTTAGCAGTTGCCTGGACAAAATCCAGCACTGAATCATACAGTCATTTTAGCCACTGATCATCTTTTAAGATCTAATGTTTCGTGTTTTGAGTTTATCACCGATACCGATCAGGAGCTTCATCTCAAAGTAAATTAAAATGCTTCTGGTTTCATTTCTTCTCCTTTCTGTCTCACCGGAGTTAGACCTCATGAATGTCGTGTTACCATGCAAGCATTTTTGCTTACGTGGCCAACCCTGTTGATATGTGCTTCTTCTCCACGAGGCTTCTGATTCCACACAGATATTTGTTCCTGCCACAATTTCCTCTTTAAGGACTTTGACATAACCAAGCAATTGAAATTTCTCAATTTCAAAGAGCTGCAAATGTCAGACTGGAACTGCTCTAAACTTTTCTCATAACAACGGTATAATCTTATAATCAGATTCATTGTTTAAATAGTAGCTTTCACAGTCTGGTACAACCTCAGTCAACCAGCCAGTTGGGTTTCCTGAAATGTTGTCATTTAAAGGAAACCTAGAGAATCTCCGGAAGTGCTTTCCTATTTTCTTTGTCGAGTGATGAGAGCTAACAATTTTCATCTTCTTCAGATAATGCATGAGCTCCAAGAAGATCCTTTCCAACTCTGTTATTCCATTGTGTTATCCTGTAATTGTTTGTAAGACATGCACCAACAAGGAAAGGAAAATACAAATCTTGGGTGGCTTCAAACCACCCAAGATTTTGTGGCAGATGGTGGCACTCCCCTTCTACCATCATGTCATGCCGTCGCCTTGCAAATAGGACAAGCGCCTTAATTTCCTCGTCCATATCATTCAAGCTGGAACATTAAACAACATTCAAAGGACAGCCTCTGCGTAGTGTAATTTAAAACTACACGTCGAAGTCATAGATCCAGTATAACAGCCTTTTGGAAAAATCTAGCTTGCCAAAACCACAAACACTTGTTTGTGGTTTGACCAGGTGTAAACTTGGCTTCTGTGTTCTCATTTAGCAATTGCCCTGGTTCTCCTTTTGAAAAGCACATTGCTGAGTCAGCACAGTTTTTCTCCGTCCACATGTGGTTGCTTCACTTGTAAATGTGAGCCGGTGAGAAATATATAATCCCTTAGTTCAATTTTTCCAATCTCAGAGGCCCAGCCCAGCTTTGGAAGAAACCAATGAACTACCATAGCAATTTCCTTCCTTTAACAGGAAGGAATTTCCTTCCTTTAACAAGAAGGAATTTCCTTCCTTTAACAGGAAGAAAATATTGACAACCACCCCCATTGTTAAAACTGTTTTAAACTATTTTTAAAAAAATTCAAGTTTGCCCTTGGCTAGAAGAAATAAAACAAATGTAATTTCTTAAATGAGGAAGTGTGCAAACAATACACAGAGCTCTTTGGTTAGGTTAAAAGATAAAAAAAAAAAAAGTCAACAGCTGACATAGCCTTGGCATGATTGTGACTGGGGTCATTTCGTATCTGTTGCGAAGTGCAAATATACTTGCTGCCTGTCACAAACAGCTCTCACAGCATGATCCAGGTTAAGGAAATGTTTGCGTGGCATGGCGAGTTCTTAAATTTGACTTTTGCAAAGATCCCTTCTTTTTAGTGCAATTGTCCTTCCTTATCATTTCTGTATGCCTACATCCGACAAACAATTTGTTGCAGGCTGTGCTAGAACATAACATTTCTCCTTAGTTCAAGGTTGTTTCTCTTTTAGTTTCTATCCCTTGTTCTTGTCCTGCCTTTGGAAAATAATTTGAGCCCCTCGTCTTTTTAGGAGCCCCTTCAAATATTGGAACACTACTATCATGTCTTCCCTAGTCCCTCTTTTCATGTTGAAAATTATCTTTGATTTTTAAATCAAAGGCTAGAAATTTGGCTGGGTGAAGGATGGAAATCGTTTCTACTAGACCCACTGGGTCTCCGTATCTTCTTTTCATGCTCATTTCTAATCTCTGAACTCATCGGAGGAGTTATTCCATCCACATTTGCCTACTCTACAAGTCTGTCATGCTACAGAATGAATTATCTTCAACCACTGAGGTACAGAACAACTTGCCCTGGAGTAGGCGTTTGATGATGTAGGCGAATGAAAAGATTAAAGAAGTCCAGACTAAATGAGTCAGTGATTGTAGCACTGCTAAAATATTTGCATAACATCCAGGTAAACAGATCTCAGCCTTGTTGCATATTCTGGAGGGAAGCAGAGGTGCCTACAGTATTTGGATCATCAGAAGAGGTGATGGCCCCTGGTCACCCTTTAACCTTTGACTTGAAAAAGCTCAGCAAGGGCTGGGCCTGATTGTCATTGAAAAGAGGGACAACAGACAATTGCAAAAATGGCAACTTTGATTGGTTGCAGCCTCCCCTCCAAAAAAGAGCAATGCAAATCACTGACTGAAGATAGAATAACAGAGTTGGAAGGGACCTTGGAGGTCTTCTAGTGCAACCCCTTGCTCAAGCAGGAGACCCTAACCTTTTGGGGCTCCTGTGCCAAAAATTGTGTGCGCTTGCATGCTCGCGCTCACCCCGAAAGCAATGTGCGCCCCTCCCACACCCCCTACGCATGTACGCGCAATCCTTCCACCCACACATCCACTCCCCAGCTCCTTACCTGCACTGCGCCTCACAGCTGATTTTCAGCCAGTTTGAGGCCTTTTTCGGCCTCCCAAAGGCTGAAGGCTTCTGCAGGCTTTGTAGGCCGAGAACTAGACCTGTTTCGTCACTTCCTGTTTTTCTGAAAATACCAGAAGTAGCAAGATGGGGCTAGTTTTCAGCCTGCAAAGCCTGCAGAAGCCTTCCCCAAGCCTTTGGGAGGCCGAAAAAGGCCTCAAACCAGCCGAAAATCAGCTGTGAGGCATGCACATGCGCAGTGAGGTAAGTTTGCCTGCAGCTCACGTGCTCTTACAAATGGCTCTGCGTGTCACTGGTGGCACGTGTGCCATAGGTTCCCCATCATGGCCCTATACCATTCCAGAAAATAGCTGCCCGGTCTCTTCTTAAAAGCCTCAAGGGATGAAGCACCCATAATTTCTGAAGGTGAACCATTCCACAGATGAATTGTTCTCACTATCATGAAATTTCTTCTTAATTTCTTCTTAATCTCTCTTTGATAAGCTTCCATCCCTTCTTAGAACAGAGCTGAAAGGGACCTTGGAGGTCTTCTAGTCTAGCCCCCTGCTCAAGCAGGAGACCCTATACCATCTCAGGCAAGAGACTGTCCAGTCTCTTCTTCAAAACCTGTTACTTCTTGTCCTGCCCTCAGGTGGTTTGAAAAACAGGTTGACCCCCTTCTTCTGTGTGAGACCCCCTCAAATATTGGAACAGTGCTATCATGCCACTTCCTTATCTTGCAATCTATATAGCAATAGCCCTTAGACTTATATGCCGCTTCACAGTGCTTTCCAGCCCTCTCTAAGCGGTTTTACAGAGTCAGCTTCTTGCCCCTAACATTCTGGGTCCTCATTTTATGGATGGAAGGCTGAGTCAAACTTGAGCCTGGTGAGATTCGTCATGCCAAATTGCAGTCAGCCAGCAGTCAGCAAAAGAAACCTGCAGTACTGCACTCTAA